GCTTGCGTTTGAAGGCAGCCTTAAGGAGCGCCAAAGCCCCTTGAGTGGACATTTCTCTAAGTGCATCTTTGGCTTAGCCTGAGCACGTGCCCGGAAGGCAGGACTTCTGTTTTCACCTGCTGTGTAAATTAGTTATAGCCCTTGGATTTCGCGCTGAGATCGCACCAGATACAAGTGGCCTGCAGTGCTGATTCTACGACATTTAAGAAGATTTATGGCCACACCTTGACATGGCAAATGGGCGCCTGAGTCCGACTCCGCGTCCGAGAGCCAAGCGGAAGCTGCAGTGAGTGCATGGAGTGGGAGGCCAGAACCGTGCTTCGTGCTGGGCAAATTGCCGAAAGTCATTAAGTTTGCGCATCAGTGCAACAGAAATGAGATTTCCCACACCCTGCCACCCACCAGCCACCGAGGACTCGCAGCGGAAAGTCAACGACAACGAGGTCTTTAAGGGCTCATCTTTATTCAATTCCATTTGCAATGGGCCTCGACTGAAGATTGAGCTACTGGCTGGTAGGCTCCGACAGACTCTGGCTGGAAATATAATTATAGTTTAATTTCCGTGCCGAGTTGAAAATGTGAAATTTTGGGCTGGCAGACGTCAACACGTGGCGTATGAGTAACGCATAGCCTTGGACCTCAATCGTCTTGCCAACCAAAAGAGCTGTAGAGACAGTTGTCTGCAGTATTTCAAGCGAATGATTAATCAGTTTAATTGATTGAAGGCAGGGAAGAGCATTAAAGATAAACTTTAAAAATGCAATTTATAGGCCCAATGAAATGCAAAGGAACCCCACAAAGAGCTCTGAAAGCTGTCGTCTAGTGCATCATTTTAAAGCTCACATAGACAACAATCGACACGCAGCAGCAAAAGAGGCTGCAGCGCAGCTTCTTGATGTTCACAGCTCCTCGTCGATCGCAGAACAGCAGCTCAAAGGTGCGACGTAGCAAGCCGGGCTGCAGATCGCCACAGCTGCCAATGGAGGAATCATCCTCTTCGCTGCTGTGCCGCAGCTCGTGTCGACTCATTAGCTCCAGCAGGGGCTGGTCCTGCAACGCCCTCGAATCGATCTCAGACAGATAGTCGATGGTGCAGAGCTCGCGCTCGTGCTCGAGGTTCTGTTCCCGTGTCTGATCCCGCTTGGCAATACGCTCGCTCTGGCTTTTGGTCCGTGGAGCGATCTTCATCCAACCGAACCAGTCGAAGCGTTTTTTCACGGCCTGAGCTCGGACCAGGTGCACCGGCGGCTCATTGGTATCGTAAAAGGAAGTCGACGAGTTGCTGATGGAGAAATATACCGAAGAATCGCTTTCGTTTTCGGTCGCGATTTGTGGACTATCTCGAAGAGCAAGTGGAGGATCATTAGGCACATTCAATTGATCGATGCGATCCAGACGATCCATTAGATTCAGTTGAGCCAGCTCTTGGAAATCGTAGGGATGTGGGGAGTTGAAGGGATCTTGGATGTGACCTTCGCCGTAAGTGGAATTTAGCTGCCATTCTAGCTGTCGCTGCGCCTCCGACTGATCGCCTTGGGAGATTTCTCCATGACCCTCGCGGCTGTAAAAGCGGGTGGCGCCGTAGTTTGAGGGCTCTCCAGGGTATGGCATGTCCTCTAGGTCCTCATTCTCATTCTCGCGATATTGTGCCTCGTTCTCATACTGCACCTGATCTTCAGTTTCAAACTGATCTTCATACCGATCTTCCTGCCTTTCTTCCTGCCGCTCTACGTATCGCTCGTCGAACAGTTCTTGAGACGCTTCCGAGTACCGATTCTCTTCCCTTAATTCATATTGAACATCCTCCTTCACGTGCTCTTCACCCAGATCGATGATTTCCTCTCCCTGTCCGCCCCGAAAACGTGTCGGAGTCCGACGTCCCCTGCATCCAAGTCCCCTGCTGGCGTAGCGCCACAGCGAAAATGGCACTCGAAAGCCAAATAAGTTTGACCGTCGCACAGAGTCCAATGCTCGCTCAATAATTGAGGATCCTTGCTGCTGCTGCTGCTGCGGAACCCTCTGACGCCACAGTGGCGGGTTGCGAGCGTTTCGCATGGATGGCGGCAGGACAGAGGGCCAGTAGGTGCGGTGTTCACTGCTTAGTAGATGAACCGAGGGAGTCGTCATGGTGGAGGCATTCCTCCCGCTCTCTCGCTGGTAAGTACTTCGTCGCTTACGCGGAGCTGTCGAGTGCCGCGTCGGCACCTCCCTGGCATCCTGGGTCCGCGAGTACCCCTCGCCACGTTCTCTGGCGAGCTGTTCATGTACTCGTGCCCTGGCCCGATCCCCAATCACGGCCACCGTCAACAGGCGCTCCACATGCCGCCGATTGGTAAATGTGATGCGACCAACCATTATCCTATAGTCCTGACACAACAAGAAGAGCTCGGCGTTGTTCAGCTGCCGCAGCCGCTCCAGCACGGTCGGCCTGGGCCTGCTCATAGTGGTTGCAGCAAAACAAATACAAAACTGAGAATTTTGAACCTAAACTAAATAAAAAGTAAAAATAATGAAAAGATTTTTAGTCGGTTTGGTTTCAAATCGATGAGCTGTCGTCTCTCTGGGAATGAAGTTAAAATCCATTTGGTTTTTGTGTTCAGTTTTCTCGGAGGCTTAGACAAGTGCCAACAAAGCCGTTTGTGCTGAAGACGTTTTCGGGAAAAACTTTCGATGGTGATTTCCATGTCCCCCTTCAGTGGAAATCCCCCTGAAATCAGACAATAAATTTAAACTTTGTCGCCGGGAAAAACAAGCTGGGCAAAAGTGACAAATGGAAAAGTTGAAAAGTCATCGAGTTTCTGTTGTTGTTGTTATTTTATTTTGATGACCTGTGACTGCATATTCCCTCTGCCCTAACGTAAAGTTTTTACCCTTTCTGCCACCTACAAACACTGCTGCGTGTGTCCCGTGTCCCTCCACTCTCGATGGCGCCCAATGTTGTAGCTGTTTTTCGTCCGTTTTTTGTTTTTATGGAGTAATATTGTATGTGCTGCGGAGCGTAGGTAGGACACAGATGTCACCCATGCCATGGGATAGATCAAAGGGAACCATTTCAGCTTTAAAGAGGGGAAAACAACAAAAGGAAAAACAAAACAAACCACTTCAAACTACTGAAATGTATGGTGGGTTGATTCTGATTTTGTTTAAGTATTCAATTATATGTTGTGATTTTTTTAATCACTTTGCTGCGACTAGAGGGTTTCGTTAAGAGTATCAAATAATTTAATTTAATTTACTCCCCTTTCCTAGGTAGATATCCAATAAATCGGTAATTATGCTTAATTAAATTTACTAAAATTCGAATACAGACTGTTGAATTGAGACAATGGGTGTATTCACGGACCACCAGAATATTAGAGTCTACATCTCGAGGAATCCCAGGTGTGGTTCTGCCTCCTCTATGGCGAGAATCGCAAGTTTCTGAGCTCCTCGGTTATCGGCTTACACGGCCTTTAAAGTTAAATTCCCTTTTTGACTCTTTCTGGGCGCCATCTTTTAGTTTACTTTCAAAGCCTGACAAGCGCCCTCTATGCGAAGGCTTAAGGAATCTAGAAAGCGTTCAGAAAAGCTCGCTGCTATATAACTGTTGTAGCTGGATGCTATGGAAACGAACCGTTGCTTGAAAATGTTGACAAACATGATGTGCTGCCGCAAAATTTGATAAGAACTATAATAATATAATAACGGGGAAAATAACCTCTACGCCAGGTAAGTATTGGAGCAAAGCTGTAACAAGTTACATATTACGACGTGGCGATTTCCCCCTTGTAAAGGCGGGTGGCCAAATAATTCCCCTCTACCTAAGGGTAGTGCGGTAACTTAAAACCTCAAAACAAAAAAAAATAATAATATAATAAACTAGTTTATATGCAGTTTAATTTGGTATGCTTAAAAACATACATTTTAGATAGACTCTCCCATGGAAACCAAAGATAACCAATATAATCTAAAACATTCCCGAATTTGTATCATAATATCCATGTCAAGCCTCTTCCTCTTCTTTGATAATTTCAATGCCCCTTCGCATTCGATTCGACACTAAACAGACTCTTCTTTTAATATTCATAAAGTTTTATTAGTAAACATATATTTAGACTACACAGAAACTACAAACATTTTTGATGATTTTTGGGTTTGGTTTTTTGTTTTCTTTTTCCATTTCTATTTGTTTTTAATTTATTGTTTTTGTTGTAATGGTGTGCCCTAAATTTAAATGTAGTTAAATAATATTACTGCAATAAATAATTCTTTTCGCATATAAATTGAGTGTCTTTCCTCTGTCCTGTCTGATTGAGCAGCACTCGATTATTGTCATAGAAGAATTCATTTGATTTGATTGGATTTGTTTTGTCGCACGCTTTAAATATTATTACATTATATATTTTTCGTTTTGTATGTAATGTGTATGTACGCGTATGTATACTTAATCTATTAAGTATGTACAAAGCTCAAACTATGAACACGAACTTGTAACGGCATTTGAAATTCTGATTTCTGATTTATCTCGATTCGATTTTAATTGTATTTTCAATTGTTTATCGCTCTGACGACTAACTGCTAAATATTTGACTTATTTTGTGTCTTTCTTTATTTTGTTTTACTATGGCAGAAAACTTGTTGGATTGATTATTTGTATTATTTAACAAATACTAGAAGACGAATCTCATTTGATCGGCAACAAAATGCATTTGCTTGGAGCTTGAAATGGAATTGAAATTTGAATATAACTAATTTTTGTGTTTCTCCTTTCATTTAATACTAATCATATATATGTGGGGGGAGGGGGAGAATTTTACGCAAAATTTGAACTCAATTTAATATAATTATGAATTATATTTAAAATATTATTTACACCTTGAAAGTACGGCTAATTTAGACGATAAATGTATCCTTTTGCTTAGTTCTTACAAATAATTCTGTTCTGCTTTTCTGCTTCTACTGGGGGAGAGAAAAACAAACTAATAAACGAATTAGTAGCTGGCTTTAAATTCGTTGCTGTGTGTTTCGTTTTTTTAGTACTTGTACTCTGGCAGACCTCTCGAGGCTACTGCTGCAAATTGAATCAATCTTGGAAATTGGAAGCGTCTTGGTCGCCCATAATTTATCGCAAAACAAACTGACTGTTTGAGTCCTGAGTCCTGCCAACAGATAAACGAAGCAGCGATGACAATCTTAAAACTCCTCATCGTCGTCGTAGTCATCGCTGTCGCTATCCTGGCGTGGCAGGATGTGGAACCAGGCCCACACCCGGGACATGTCCACTCATCGTTTGCGATTATAGGCGCCAAGCGAAGACTGCCTTCATTCCTTCATCTCGTGACCATTGGCACCCAGCTCGAGGAGCTCATGAGGTTCGGCATTCAACTGGGAATAGAGAGAAATATGAACAGGGAACAAGTAAGGGTATAGCTGTAGGTCTCTTACCCTATCCACACTGGCCAGATCGTTCTTCGACAGATGATTTACCAAGATAGTGCCCAGAGCATCGCACATGACATTGATGGTAGTGCGGAAGCGATCCCTAGAAGCCAAACAAATGTGTAACAATAACTACAGATGGGAGTTCTCTCTGCTGTACTCACAGCAACCAATCGACAGCTATAATGAGGGACACATCCTTTGGCTCCAGGCCCACAGTGTCTAGCACCATGACCATGGTGACGAGTCCCGCCTGCGGTATGCCAGCGGCACCAATTGAGGCAGCCGTTGCCGTTATGCTCACCGCCACAATTGTGCCAAAGGAGTAGCTCATCTCACGGTACTGTGCAATGAAGAGAGCGGCCACCGCCTCATACAGAGCCGTGCCATCCATGTTGATGGTGGCACCCACAGGTATAACGAATCGTGTGACACGCGGATCGATGCCCATGTTGTCCAGACACTTGATGGTCAGCGGCATGGTGGCCGAACTGGAGCCAGTGCCAAAGGCAGTGGCCAGCACCTGACTGAGCTTGGCAATATAACGATACGGTAGGCGCCGTGTGCCCAAGAAAAAGATCACCGCAATGGTGCCTGAGAGGGAGCACAAAGGTAAACGGGATTGATTACAGATATTGTCTTCTAGCATAGAAAAAACACTCACCGAATCCATGCAAAAAGAGACCAATCATGACGGTGATGAAATACCAGCCTAGGGATTGTATAGTCGCTGCTATGGACTCCATTTCAATGATCTTGGCGGCTATCAGAAAGGCCACACCCAATGGGGAGATCCTACAAAGGAATATTATGAGATAAATGCTAGAAGAAAGCCTATCCTGCACTTACCAGATAACCCATGAGGTGATGGTCATCATTGCCTCACTCAATGTGGTAAAGAAATCCTGCAGAAGTTGTCCCTTTTCACGCATACGGCCAATGGTGGTGCCCAGGATCACGCTGAACATGACCAGACCCAAGACATTAGAGCCCTCGCGCTGGGAGGACTTGAATTGCCAGGCTTCCATGGGTTCTGAGGGGGTGGAAATTATGGATTAATGGACCTTTGTTTGATAAACGGGAACCACATACGTGCAGGGCTAATGCTGGTGTTCTCAAAGATCTCCGTGCGATACTAAAAAGGGAAGATATGGAAAACTTTATTGAGGAGTTAACGCTACAGGAACTCCGCGGGGAAAGGGCACAGTGTTGTCTTTTTTTTTTGTTCCATAATTTTCCACTCAAAAGGTTAAGCCACAGGCATTGGCGAAAGTGCTTGGCGTTGATTATCCCCCTTCATTGACTCGGACAATAATCTAATTTGTGCGCATGAATATTCATTTGGTTGGCCACAGAGACAGATACAGCGACAGATACAGATACACCAGATACGTATTATCATATAAATGTTGGAGGTACAATGTCCATATATCAGGCACAGTAACTGTACGAGGCAAGTACTTTGATTCAATTTGTGTCTGGGGGGCTCCAAAAACCCCTCGGAGCTCTCCCTGCCTCTCTCTCTGTGTCAGTCTGCGTCTGCGATAATTGAAATTTAAGCAGAGAGAGAGAGCGACAGAGAGAGAGAGAGACATTTGTGTGAAAGTGTCTCCCCGTAGTTTGGGACTTGGATTGTGAATTGTAATTGGAATTGTGATATCCCTCTAGCCCTATCATGTCGCTGTTGATTATGTGTCGTGCGCGGTTTGTTTCAATCAAACTCGGTAAACCGCAAAAAAAAAGAATTGAATAATTGGTTCGGCGGTTACTGCTACGGATTTTCTGCTGTTTACGGATTCCGTCCGTTTGGATCTCTCTCTCCCACTGTAACTCACCTGAAACATGGTCGACTGGATGATGTTGTCCGTAAACATGTTTCTAATAGAAGAAAAGAAAATGAATCAGCATTGGTTGAGCTCGATTATCATTCAATCTCGTGTAGACATACCGAACCAGATCCATTAGCGTGTCTGGGGTCAGCACCTTGGATGCCTTATCGATACTCTCCGTTTGGGTTTCCACAATCTTTGCTCCCTGGCCGGGACGCAGTGTGGTCACAAGACAAATGCCCAAAACTACAGCCGAAATGGTGGTCACAAAGTAATATGTGATGGCTCTAAAAAGGGGAGAGATAACGAAGGATAAGAGATGGTTCTGCTGGCGGCATTTGTAGCCTGACTCACCTGGTGGCTATCTTGCTGGACATGCTCAGATCAAGTCCACCAATGGCACTGGTTATCGACGACACCAACAGCGGCACAATCAAGCATTTAAGCATGCTGCAAAAATAGTTGCAAAGTATCAATTAAGAACTTAATTAACCAGTTTATTGTTTACTCGAACTTACCGCAAAAAGATCTCGCCCGGAAATGATATGTACATAATCTCACGCTTTGTCCACTCCCCGGTGCTGTTCTTAATGATGAAGCCCACCAGTCCACCCGCAAACACACCAATCACGGTGGCCATGGTGAGGACATTCTCCTGCATGAATGCCTTGAATTTGCTCTCATTTTGCTTCGGTCGCGTCATGGTCGCTTTCTGGACTTAGATTTCAGGGCTTCTGGGTATAATTTGGGCACCCTCAAGCTAGAGCGGTGCTAAGCCGAGTTATAGGGAGTTTTAAGAGCTCCGATTGGTTTCAAAACGGAATGCTGCAAAAAAACAAAGAGATTATCAGTTAAAGCAGATAAAATTAGAGTAACAACTAACTTTTTTGTGTAGTTAGATTTGGTCTAAATTCCAATTCATTTCAAATTTTCTTTTGAAATTCCACCCAAAACACGTCCGCTAACATCTATGGTTCCTCCACGCGGTTCAAACTGCGATCCACGACTGTAGAGCTTTGGAACATCGCAAAAAAATTACAACCCCCAAGAAAAAAGAGCGTGGCCTTTGGGCAGCTGGGCAGCTTTTGTTATTTATGCAAAATCAACCCCTACCCTACCCCTAGTCTACACCCTCCTAATGGTGTTACTTTTGACAAGAAGCCGGACGGATGTCGAATTTCTTTTTGAAGATTTATTTACAAAACATTTTTCGAGAGAGCAGAGCAGAAGGAAGCTCTGGCTCTGCATAAGCCACCCCTAAAGCTATTATTAAAAATTTCTCACTTACTTTTAAACATTCATTTAGCTCCCGACACCTTTTTTTCGAGTGCGAAAAACAACAGAAAGGCAATAACAAAAGAATAAACTGCGAGAAAATGCAGCAACAAAAAATTGCAGCTCAATTAATCGAGGCGTGGAGCGGAAGGGAACAAGTTCATCGGGAAAACGTGGCAAAAAAATAAATTTACATAAACGATCAGCTAATGAAAAGTAATTCCCGCACGGCCCCCTGCTGCCACCACCCAAGTGGGGTGCAAGGGCACGAACATAGACACAGAAAGACTGTAGCCTGAATGTCGGTGATCAATGCAAACTGATAGCGAATCCAGTCTACTCTGGAATTTGAATCCCCTCACTCGATCATGTGTCTTTGAAAAGTGACCCAAATTGAATGCACCAGCCGGAGTGGCAGCGGCAGACCCATTGAGATCCTCTCAATTGGGCACTGAGACTTGACGGGGACATTCAGATTAATCAAGAAATTTGTTCACACTTTGGCATTGTTTAGCCAATTGCATTACAATTGTAGATCAGCTCTGAAAAACACTTTGGGGATCGTATGAACGTGAAATTGAAAAGCTTTACGCTTGGCTGAAGCTGAAAACAAGTGTGGGGGAGAAGCATAGATTTTCGTGCGATCAAGGGAGGAATGCAAATGCTCTAACTAAAAACTTGATCTAAAATCAACCAGATCAGTGCTCTCATTACTGATCTTATCACTAATTCTACAAGTGATTAACTCAATGATCACTTCTTCGAAAAGAGATGATCTCATTGAACCGTTCGGGTAATTTTATATACATAGTATAAGTCTCTCCATTGCCACCTTGAAGTGCTTCTTTTCTACACTGCCTTGATCACTAACCGATCCTTAATTCACTCTCTTTTTTAGCTGATAAGAGTAACTGCCAGATCGACTACAGTTGCATTCTTACAAACAGTCACAGATCACTGATAGATGCACACAATTCTCTGAACCTTTTGGAGACACACACGATGATAATGTCATAATACTGAGTATTTCTCTCGTACTGGGGTAAGTAGTTGCGGTTTAACTAATTGATGTAACTGCATAACAAAACAACAGCCAGCAGTCTGCGTCAGAATTCAGAGTGCCCGATTGGCATGTGCCCAGAGGCAGGGTTCCCCTACAAAGTGCCATTGAAATGGATATCTCTTGGTCGGACACAATTACATTTAGACTGTGTGTGCAGAGCATTTAGAGTGGGGTGTATGAGGGGCACTGAGGCACTGTCTGTGCGCCCCAAACTAAATAGTATTTATCGCTCGTGTGTTTAATTAACTAACCGTTTAAGTTGAACACTCGAGGGCGGGCGATTCATGGGCCAAGTTTAATAAGAGATAAGAACTGAATTTTATTAAAATGGAGAGCGGGGGAGGGAGGAAGTGTACTTGGAATGCAGTTACAGTCCCCCGTTGCACACTGAAGTTGATGTATATACAAAGATGCCTTTGACCAAGTGACTGAATAACCGACTGATGCTCCGACTTGCTGTCATTGCCGTTCCGTGTAGATTTTTCATATTTATTCATAATTTTTGTTGTTGGCTTTTCTATTTCGAACTTGACCGTGAGTCAGGCAAATGAATTCCTATACTACATTCGTAGGCAGAATTTGCATTCGACGCTAATAAGTATTGTAATGTATTTGTATTTGCCCAGAATGTGTCGCAGTTGTCTTTGAAATTAAATTGCATTTACAGCGGGCTGAAATAATGAATGCTAAATGCTGAAATGCAAGTGGATATCATTGAAGTTCATTGACGAAAAGCATGGGTTTACACTCGCAACGGAAGTTGGCCAATTAATGGACTGGGAATGTCCATGATATGATCGTGAAATGTAATACTCAACCTACTACACTCTCACCCAACGTGATCCATTTGGGAGATTTAAACTTGAACTTGTTGTCTTCATTAGCATGGCCCTAAAAGCCCCCATAAAACCATCTAATTGAATAATGCTGGCTTGACCTATACCCAGACCCGAACAGATTCTAGACTCTACATTTCCATTTAAGAAAAAAAAAGTATTTCCTTTGCGGGGGCGTTGATTTCTGGCCGCATCTTTGATTGGCGGCCTGTCGAACAACAGTTTACATGAACAAGTTTATTATTGTTGTCGTTGGTTAAATACATATAAAATATCCACAGATGAATACTAATTAGTCTCGGACTTATAATATACTTTAACAGCGCAAACACTATATAATTAATGCAATGCAAAACTATGTTCGAGTCGCGTAGTCATTGTCAATGCAAATTGTAGTTGCACTTCCAAGGAGGGGATGTGTGTGTGTGCGGGAGAGAGGGAAGGTTGTGACCCACCCATTTGTCTTTGGGTGAAATATATTATAAAAACTATTTGTAAGGCGTACAAAGAACCAGTTTAAATTCAACAAAAAATCAATCTAAATTGCATAGTTGCGGGGGAAGGAAGTGCAGTGGTTTTTTGCATGGATTTTTCCAGAAATATCTGGTTTTTTGTGTTCTCAAATTTTTTCTAACCAATTGTGTTAGCTTTATGAAGAGATCTTTGCAAATTGTTTGGTAAATGTACAAGCTTTTGTTTAGGAACTTGATAGCCGTCAATTGAAGCACTTGGCCCATCATCTTGGCTGTCATAATTAAATATTTCTCCACTGGGACTTTACAATTTTGCAACTTAAAATTTAATTATCAAAAAATACGAGAAAAAATGCTCAGAAAAATAACTTAAATGAGAAAAAAATATCAATAGAAAAGTGTGGAAGCCTTTGCACAAATCAATTTCCATAAGTTTTCATTTCGCACGAGGTTGTGTGTTTCAGACTTGGATTTTAGACGATTAGGAAGCACATAGGCATATAATATATTATAGTTTATATATAATATATGACGCTATAATCTTTATTCGGTCGGTCACCGCAATCTATAGACTGTGTGTCTGTCTGACTACGATTGTCGCACTGGACAGCCGGCAGACTGGCATTTCCATATTGTCCATCCACAAACTTCTAAAACCTAATCAAGATCATGCGAGTTCAGCAAAAAACCGAATAGAATTAAAAAACGCGACCAGCACGCGGCGCCGCTGAAATTCCCTCTAAAAGATAATCGATCTTAACAGCTGAGTCTAGTCAAATCCGATCGGAGCTTGAGTTGGATGGTTTATTCTGGCCTAATTGAATTTTACGCATTTGTCATATAATTTCATTTTTATTTGCATGAGAAAATGTTTGAAATGCGCGAGGGACGTTCGCAAATATTACGCTCGCGAAGAAACATACATTTTTTATTAACAAATTGACTTGAGAGTGGAACATGTAGTACCTGTGTATATATATATATTATATATATTTTATGCTGCTCTCTGATCTCTCTTGGAAGAGCGAAAGCGAAACTATTTTTATGCACTGAAAGCCAAAAAATAAAACTGCATTGTGTGCTAAAAATAATGGCAAAAAAAACCAAGAAAAAACTCAAAATTATTATATATATAGACTGCAGTGGTTGCCACGCCCACACGCCTATGCTGGCTGTGGGTGGGGGGTGTTTGGTCCTATCAAGGTTAGTCGGCCGCTCGACACGTTATCAGCAGCGTTAATCGGAAATTATTCACGCGTCTTGGTGGCTAAAGAAGAAGTGGAAGATGGAAAAGGGTTGGGGAATGGACTAGAGTGTGCTCAGTAATAGCTGATTATTAGAGGAATTAACCACTAAAGGGCATTATGCTGATGGGAAGCATAAAAATGGAAGAATCCTACCAAAATTTGATTTTTTGTAAGAAAAGATTTTCAGTTTTCATTTGTCGTATATTCACCCGCCTATTTTGTGTACAGGGTAGCAAAACAGCTGTGACATTGAGCCGGCAAATGAGAGGAACAAAAAAACTTACCCACTTGCAATGTAACACACACTGGGAAACAAATCGCAAAATATTCTAACATAAATTAACAGAAATTAAAATCCTGCAAAAGGATTGAAACACAAATTAACTTGAACTTAATATGTTAAATGTCTTATGGGCATCACTGAATAATCCTTGCATCTAAGGATATGTTTCCATTGTCAATTGATTTTTGATTGTTTCTCTTCTCTCTGATTTAAATAGTTTTTGTTTAATTTGGGTTTGTTGGCATTCAATTCACTTACAATCAAATTCATACACTGTGATAATTTTTGTAATCCCTTTTTAGAGGAGGGAGTGGGCGGGGGACGCGAGACCACACAGCGATCTGGTGGCTGTAGACGAGCACGCGGCGTTTCAGCGACTGATCTGATCACTGAGATCGGATCATGCAACGATCCCACACACCGGACACAAAAAACCGATCTGCTCTGCTCTGACACGTAGGGCGGCAGAGAGCGTGTAGAGGCAAGGCAACAGCACACGACTTGACTCGTCAGATTATAAAACCGTACTAAAAACTAAATCGAAATCAAATTCGAAATATAGCCAACGACCGCGCAAATTGTGCAGCAGCAGCAGCAGCGTCGTCGCCGTCAGCGTCGCGACTCTCAACAGCAAAATAAATATATATAAAAATCTGTAGAGTACGTACAAATTTGTGAATGTGTGTGTGTGTGAGAGATTGTGTGTTGTGTTGTGGGGGGGTTGACTTTCATTCATCAAATGCTGAGGCCCATCCCATCTCACGTAACGCATACGCCGCGTTGTCTCTCTCGTAATTTGTCACGCCTTGTTCTTCGTATCCGAATCATCCTGGGCTTTCGCTTTCCTTTTACGCCCCATGCGAGTGCAATCAAAAGGAATTCATTATCAGCGCGCCCTCCTTCCAATGTAGTTCAGTGTCTTGCAGGCTGCAGCAAGCTCTTGCTCCTCCTTGGGCTCATTAGGAGCTGCTTTGTCCACAATTGCATTGATCAGTGTCGCTTTGTTGCTAATTTCAAATCGAGGGGGTTTGGGTTGGACTGGAGAATCTCAGAATCTGAAATGAATGCAAGTTGCTTTACATGCGGCATAAAACTGCGGTAGAACTCACCCAATAAGTAGGTCAAGTTTGTCCATTACTCAATCCCTCCACTAGCTCTGGATGATTACTAAATTGTGATGTCAAAGATCACCGTCACCGGAGTGAGGCAGCAGCAACCACCCCAAAAAGCCAACCAAACAATGGCCATTACCACGGACTACTTGAACTTGATTGAGACTCTGGAAACACACACAAAAGAATCGAAAGGCAACGTAGAACGAAACAAGAAAGTGGGCATGGACGATGATGATGGGGCAGCAGCAAGCAAAGAATGTTAGTTGGGCATTTCCGGTTTCATATTCGCTGTACAGCAGCAGCCCACAATGATGGTACATAATAATAATCCAAATCAGCAAGAGCACACAGCAAACAGCTGCACAGCTGCTGCCTTTGATCTGCTTCAATTCGATTTGCCTTGGGGGCCAGTTCAGCTCGGTTGTTCCATGCTGCTGGGAAATATAATGTATAATACGGTGCTCTGCCTTGCCTGGGTGTCGATGCTAGTGGATGAGGATTCCAGGGCCCAACTAAGCGGGTAAGTGGCTCGAAAGCGATACAAAACGTAACCATTAGTCGTTGGTCGGTCGCTCCACTCCACCCTTGCCTTGCCGCGCGACTCTTTTTGGATGGGTGTCCGATCTTTCTCATGTGGAGAGGTGGGATGTGACTGTGGCCACAACACAACACACATTGGGACCGGAACTGTCGATCTTCATTTTTGACACTGGAAAACAATACACGAACATTAGTGTGTGTGGAAATTGCACATGTTCATGCATAAATATATACATATAGAGCACTTATGTTGTGGTATATAAATAACCAACCATATAATTATGTGCTCGAGTATACTGGTGTACAAAGTTAATTCAGCATATGCTTTGGCCATAATGAGGATGAAGCGTTGAAGAATAGTTTAAGAATTCTGGCATTTAATAGATGTAGTCTTTAATTCGTGAGAATTGAAATAAATTTGGAAGCATTTTGTAGTTAGTAGTAAAGATAATTTAGATTAGAGCTAGGGTAAGTACTCAAATGGTTCAAAGATGAAAAATTGCTTCAGTTCCTTATTGTTTGCAAGATTCTTAAATTAATTGTTTGTTGTCTTCCTTATTGTCTACCTCCTACATCCAATTAATGCCATTCTAGCTGTCTTCTTTACCTCGTTTTTGGCATGAACTTCGATGAATGTCCCATGCCATATAACTGCTATAAGCTCAATTCCATTGCTTGATGATTATGGTTTGCTGATAGTAGAGGAATATTGCTCTGAAAGTTAAGTTAAGTTAAATTCTGGTGATTAAATTAATTTATTAAAATTATTAAAGTACTTACAAAATCCATTACTCTGGGTGTCCGCGCTGCAACTGAGATTGAAGTGAATTATTATAGTACACACATGAATCAAATAAAAGGAAATACTTACTTCAAGCTCAAATATCAGTAGCACTCTTAATCTCCAATTTATAAGACTTCCTTCCTTATTATTACTCCCCATTAATATTTGAAGAATAACAATTTTTGGTTTTGATCGATTTTCGAGAAAAACTTTAAGCAATCAACGCCTCAAGTCTTTCATACATTAAAAATATTTTATTACAAGTTTTTTTTATAAGTATTATGTGTAAACATATTATTATGTATTATAGATTATTGATATACAAAAAATTTCAAGATCACAAATCAGATTTTTATTCTTTTAAGATTAAATGTGAGCAAAGTGGCTTTTCGTATCCGACGGAAACTGTACCTGCTTGTACTGCAAAATGGCAAACAAAGTACAACGCATAATGGCAAAATATAGAGAGAGGAATGTGGAAACCCATGTCTAGTGTTTTACTTTACCTCTCCCCAAAATAAAATGATATTAAACTGAAGGCAACAGACCTGCCCAATGGCAAGTAGGTGATAAAAATGGTCACTTCATCGATGGAAGGACGGAGGCTAACATTGTGATTAAAAATAGCTCTCTAGAGTAGTTAAAACTGCTCGCTCGAATTGAACAAAGAAGTATTCACTTGATGAAAATATGGCCACTTGGGGTGTACGCATCTATGGGGTAGTAGGAGTACGCGCAGGTAGTGGGACTTACAGAGAGGAGCATAAATATTTGTTCAAAGAATTAAACGGGAGGAAAGTGTAGGGTAGTGTAGCGCTGACAGTAGGACGATCGCAACAGTTGGTTCCACAGCCACCACCAACACCACCAATACACGCACAATAGCAGCAGCTGCCGGACGTTGTATAAGAGTGTATGCGTTTGAGTGTGTGAGCTGCCTCCTGCCAAAACGCTGCCGACTGTTGTATACGTGTGAGTTGGTGTGCGTATTTTACTCCGTTTAATCCTCCATTTTGGGGCGTCGAAAGAGCAGGATATGTGGCTCTGGCTTGTGGATCATATAATGGATCCAACCACGCGACTGCTGCACACCAATCGATCGCCACTCGGTCTCCGTCATCAGATGGGTTTTGGGCACCAGCTTAACCAGCTCCTTGGGCAAGACCACATGTCTGCACACACACACACACACACAAAAGATATACATATATAGCATTTACAGTTGATTTTCGGGGATATTCGCACAAACTCACCTATACTCGAATTTCTCATCGTAATATTTATCCGAATAGTAAATATCTTTGCTCATTTTTCCGATTGTGTTCCTCCTGAGACGCGCACTTGACCTTGATTTGGATGTGTGCTGGAATGCGGGAATGCTGTTGCTTCTGCTGATATGCGGCACGGCAAGGGATGCGATGTGCGAATTTTTTCCGCTCTTCTGCGGCGTCTTCTTGAGCCCGGGGTGAAAGCGGCCACTCAATCGGTGGCTCTTTCGCTTTGGTGTGACTATTTCTTTGTATGTTTTCTGCGTTTTTACGCTTATTTGGAATGTACCTCAATTGTTTTATCACAATTTTATTTGGATAGCAAAGCAAAATTGACGTTTTCAATTATTTTAAATCAGAAAAAAGAGACGCGCTCGGCATTAGCGATGATAAACATGTTCACTCTATCGATATTGCTTTACAGTAAAACTATCGATGTCATTTAGATATTTTAATGCGATAACTGTGCTGGGGTGTTTAACAACACTAGTTCACAAAACAATATCTGGCATTCACGGGTGGGATATTAAAAAGTACAATTTAATTATTTAAAAAATGTTTTTTGGAGTTAAGAACTTGATAATCTTGAGCAGTAAACCCATTTTTTATTTAAACACTCAGCACTACTTCTGAGTAGTAGTTCTTTAGGCAAGCGCCAGAGGTTATCTTCCTTTGTTATTCGACAGATGGCGTTTCGAGGCGCGCGTTTTGAATTTATTTTCTGAAAACCAAAATAAAATGTTTTATGCAAGGTTTAATGACTAAAAAAGAAGAATACTACTCTTGGATTTCTAGAAGCTTTTATAACTTAAACTCTCTAAGAAACTATATGATACGCTTGTTTAGAGCTTAGATAACACAAATGAGCAACCAATTGAACCACTCCTTGTGCTTCCCACAGAGCTAAAAGCAAGCAAAGCACAAAAAAGCATAAATACTCCTGTCTGAATGTCTGACCAGCGCCGCCGTCACGCCCCGTCTTTAAAGCATTGCTCCGCCGCTCGGCAGACACATAAATTCCCACTGGCAGTGGTGGGGATGGCCACAAGAACTCCGAGAACTCTCCTCGCGCGCGTGCAAAATCTTAGATAAATTTCGTTGTGTGGACAACCGAAATGAAATGGGGAGGACTGGAAAGAGGGCGTGGAAATGCTGATGCAATTCATTTTATAGACGAAACAAATGAAACACTTAAATATTGCGCTCGTAGTACTGCGAGGGAATGAAGACCCAGTTCTTGGCCAAATCGTTTATGGATTCCTGCATGAGTCGCGATAGAATTTCCATAATGGTACTGCAAGGGTAGATCAGAGGATTAGAGGCTAGAGAGATGTATGTGGGGGTGTCGGATAGACCTACTTGCGATCACCAACAACGCCAGGCTCTGGCGGAGATTCCGTCTTGATGGACACCACCTCCTCGTAGGTTTTGGTGTGCTTGTGGCGCTTGCGGTCGGAGACGATGCGCATAAAGTTCGATTTGCAGAGATACTTCCAAAAGAGCTTCTCGAAGATGGTGTTGCGATGATCGATGGCCATAGTCAGCTCGATGATTTCGTTTGGTGTAAGCTTTTGCTTGGCAGCCAGCCGCTTGACCAGCTCACGGCGCTCTGTCTCCTTTTGCTGCTCCTCAATGGCAGGGTTGTCGCCCGCTGCCCCGGTATTTCTGTCAATGTTTGTGCCGCCGCAGGGTAAGCGTTCGGCTGCTGTGTCTGCCGCCTCGTCGGGATTGTCATCGGTTTCGTGGGTGTTCTTGAGGGTTGAGCGTAAGTTGAGATGGAGATACGAGTGCATTATGTAGCTATCCTCCTTCCATTTGGGGTCGTCTATGGACTCGATCTCCTCCAGCTCGCGCTTGGCAATCAACGTGGCCTGATCGAGGATGCGGTGCACCTCCAGGACGATGGGAATGCGCCGAAAGTTGACCAAGCGATCGTAGGCCGTAACTTTAACCTCCACCAGCTTCGAGTGGTGACCCTTGAGGCGGAACAGGGACGGCGTAAAGGTCACCGCAAAGAAGTCGCTGATGATGTAGCTACAGAGGAGGATTTCGACATTCATTAGATGATCCTTTGAAGGCGGATGTACTTACTTTTGCCAGCGGAATTCGACGCACTTTTGCCCATGATTGTGGACATTCACGAGCTGTGTGCGATCCTCCTTCATGCAGACGTTAAAGGTCACCCGATTGGGATAGATGACGTAGAGAAAATCAGCGCATTCGCGATCCTTGAGCGGCATATCCGTTTGCTCCTCCTCATCTGCTAGAACACCGCGTCCCTTGATCTTGTACCAGGCCTTAGCGCTCTCATAGCCCAGCATGACTTCCACCTCATTCTCATAGTCCATGGGACGGTAGTCCACCAAGAGGGGCCACACACTCTGCCGCGGCACCGTGAGAGTCGTGTTGAGTAGCTTCAGGCAGCGGTCGCGCGTGGAGAACGAAAAGTTGAGATGCATATTGGTGAAGTTCTGCACCCAAATGGGCTGAGTGACGTGGTAGTAGTTCTTGATATTCACAGGCAGCAGCTCCTTGGTCAGCAGGCACTTTTCGGGGTCCAATTCGGAGATTTCCAGCTTAAAGTGCCACAGGAATTTGCGATTGTCATCCGTGCTAGAGAATGGAAATGGTCAGAGAGTACGCGGGAGTCGCTGTCCACATTCAATTGCACTCACTGCACTTCGTAGGAGAGCAAATGCATGCCATAGATCAGAAAATATGCCGTCATTGAGAGGGCCAGCACTTCGTCGGGCTTAATGGTGAGCACTTCCTGGTGCAGGTGCAACAATTTGCGATGTTTGCAGTGGAAGAGCTGCCGAAACTGATTGAAGCCCACGCGTGTCTGCACGGGCCGACATCCGCAGTTCTGCAGGCGCTTGAGTGTAAGCGTCAACGGCTTTGCGGAGAGATTGCGCAGCCAAAATATGATTTTCTGGGGCGGACTCTTGATGTGTCGTATGGGCAGGGCAATTGTGTGCTCATGTTCCTGTCGATTCGATTTTAGTTTCTTGTTCCAGCTGTGGGGTAAACAGAGGGAATGAGTTCCGCTTCTAGGCAATGTTGCTGCTCACCCCAAAATATCAAAGTTCTCCCAGTAGTAAATCTTTAGGAGGGGGGGATGAACGATGGTCACGTTCTCGACCATTAGCTTCTGGTAGATGGGCACTGGCTTAAGGACGCCCGTGCATGTTGACTTCGACATCTCTGCCAGCTGTTGTTTCACTACAAAATATAGACACTCTATTAAGCTTGAATCAAATGAATATGATCAAACTCCTACGTTTGCCTCCTGGCAGGCTTTGCCGGGTCTGAAACTGCCATTTGGGGAAATGCATGTAAAGAAATATTCATGATTGGCGGAATTTGTGCACATCCTGGACTGCCGTGCCTTTTCGTTGCTTTTTTTGCCAAAAAATTAAGTTAGTTGTGAAATAAACAACTTTTTCTGGAAGAGCGGCAAACACATCGCAGCATACCATCTCGTAACACATCGATCGTAAATATCGATACACTATGTCGATTAATGTAAATTCCATGCACTCGCAATTAATGCTTCTATTTTGTATGGGATTCTTTTTCAGGCCTTATTTTAGAAACAATCCAATGAAAGTGATCCTTAATATTAAATATTATTATTGCGATCTGAACCAAACGCCAGATGAAATGATGTGTTTAGTGCTGAGGTCTCAGGCTAGTTAGTAATTTTGCATGGAATATCAAAATCGAGAAATTTCTGACCATGAACAGAGCCCATTGTTGACCGACCAGTGGGTAAAACAATTTACGCTCGAGTATTATAAAACTTGAAACATTTTAGTTTAGTTTGTTCAACTGTAGAGGAAGGATGGACTATTTGGAAATAGCATTTTTACCGCGTTTTAATTGAGTTTTTCGCTTATTAATACGATTAGTACGATATACGATATATTTCTGATCGCCAGTTACCGGACGCGATCGAACATTATTACAGTCGGCAAGGATCAAAAAAGCTAAAATAGTTCAAATAGTTAAAACCCCATTCTGCAGGGCATTGCTATCTGAACTACAACATGATTTTTGAATATCGAACAGAGGCCAGTCCCGTTGCTTCGTAGGCAAAATCAAGCAAATAAAACAACAGAATTGGCGCCAATGTGGCGTGGTTGTGGCGGGAGAGCAGACACCTGCAAGCAAATCGAGTGCATGCTGCGTGACAATCCAATGTGCAATTCGTTTTGTTTGTCAATTGACAAAGTGCCAAAGGCCAAGTGAACTGTGTAAGGGTGCGTAAGGGCGGTGGGGGCATGCGAGTGCAATAAATAAACGAGCAAGAAAAAGACATTAAGGGCACAGAGTGGGGATTGTCAGTTGCAAACCTGACCTTCAGCCGGCGACACCAACAAAGTGTGAGTGTGGGTGAGTGTGTAAAGTGTGTGGGAGTGCTAGTATGTGGCTGAATTCATTGTGAGAACATCATTTACAGTTAGTTCTCTGACAATCGTATAGAGAAAGAAAGAGAGAGAAAGAAAGACAGAAAAAGGTGAGCAGCATCAACAATTAGAATGAACAGTTACATACAGTGGAACAGGCGTGAAAAAGAGTGAAATGAAAGTGGAAAATTATTGAATATTACCAAATGGTAGATCAAAATAAAGATATAAGTCGCTTTAATAAATACGAATATTTGTTAAAATATTATTTGCAGATAGTGTTTAAAAGAGGGAAACCATTTTACGAGCAGTGAACGATCTAGAAGAATTTGTCCAAATTGGAAATCCATTGAGAGCTTCGTTATTGGGTTGATGAAAACAAAATTTAATTGTTCGATGCTTTAATACAGGACCGGGAATACAGAACCAAACTTACTGGTAAGTAATCTAATTTCAGTATCTTAATTTGTACAAAAACTATACCACTGTACTGACAGGCTTACAACCTGTGTGCATCAATCACAACCTTTGACAGCGTCGCTGCTCCGCTTATCAGTCATAGCCCTCCCTCCATCCCCTCTCCGTCCCCTGCCTCTTCACACTGACAATCTGGCATAACAATGGGTGGAAAATGGTCTATGACCCGAATACAAAGCATCTGCAATTGTCGGTAGCGCTGTCCGACCATCGCCTAAGCGACGTTAGGAGTGGGTCTCTCTAAGGGGTTTGCTTTGCTTTGAGTGTGTTTCACAGGTTCCCACTGTTCCATTTCACTCAAAGCTCTGAGTTGCACTGCCACACGTTCCGTGTAGTGCAACATTTTCGTTGAAAGCAAATATTTTCGTTTATGCTTGCCTCTTTTCCCCCCCTTTGTTTTTTGTTGCAAGAGTTTCTGGCCAACGACAACTTGTTGGCCAATTGTTGTGGTTATACTTTGAGAAGGTTGTGGCCCAAGGGGGGAAAGGGCCACTTGATGGCTCAGTCAAC